GCATCCTTAGGGAACGACAGGCTTCTGGGAAGTTCACGACATGCTTATGACAGGCCTTCCAATACGAATCCTAAGAGCTTGTTGTACGGGCTTGCTTGTGCAACATATGTTGCACCACATACATTACGCAACGCGAATTTGTTTTCTCCTCCTCGGGGGCGCGGGCGGGCGCCCGAGCTCGAAACTCTCTGAGCCTGAACACCAGCGGAGCGGCAGCAGCTGGCGGGGCAATCAGGGGCCTCGGGTCTGAAGGAGGCCCCTGAAATATCAAAGAATCTCTACGCCCCCTCGCAGGGGACTCCTCTCTTCATCCTCAAAACGATGCGGTCGGTCCTTCTCCGACCTCATGCCGCTCGCGAAGACCCGCGAGCAGTCCTGGCAGCGGGCAAGCTCGCGCTGACCGCGAGCGCCCGCACGGGCGAAGGCTCAAGGCTCACTCACTCATGCTTCTTCGCGAAGCACACCTCACACCTGCGGCGCGCCACCAGGCGCCGCTCCACGTAGAGAACTCCCTCGAGAGCTCGGCATCGCCTGCTCTGGTGTGCCACCCTATCAGTCTCAGGCAGGTGGAATGCGCAGCTCCCGTTCATCATCTTCGCCATGGCCTCTGGGTCGCATTCTCCTCCCGATGAGGAGCTCGCCCTGGGCGCCTGAGGCGCAGGGGCAATGCGCCCCCACAGTGCCCAGATTGCCGTCAGGAAGCCCAGCACAAAAGTGAAAACCCAGCTGAGCAGCAGCGTCACGGGCACGATCATGAAATCGGGGTTGTCGTCATCGGTGCCTCCAGCACCACCTCCATCTTGAACTCCTTCTCCTCGTTGAGCTTGCAGGGCCATACACAAGGCCAGGATCGCTGCGTTGAGGCCCGGGCTGCTCACGACCCTCCCACCGCACTGCTTGCCGCGAGCTGCCCGCCCCAGCTTCTCGATCACAGATTTCACCTCGACCTCGCGAACAGCTCCCAAATCTCCGTTGAGTCGGCGTAGTCCCACTTGCTTGCAGAGCTGCTCATGAACCTCGGACGTGTGTGGCTTCGTCCCAATGTCACTGGGACTGTCAGTACCCTTGCACTTCAGCACCTTCAGCCCAAGCATGCGCGTGGCCTGCTGGGCCCAGGGTGCTCGCGTGTCCAGGTGGCGGACCTCCCCGAAACCCTGCCTCAAGGACATCGCGCGAGCTGCAGAGGAGTCCGTCTCCAAGGTCCACTCAACACGAAACCCGAACCATGTGAGCAGATCCCTGAGCATCTTGCCGCCCATGGCCACAGTGCTCAGCGCGTAGAACTCGATCTCCCCAGAACTCACTGCAATCAAGTCCTGCCTCCTCACTAACGTCGCCAGCACCACACCATCAGCATACAGAACCCCACAGGTCGTGCTCTTGCGCTTCGCCTCCTTGCCTCCGTGCTCACTGTCGGCGAAACTCCTCAAGTGGACCGCGCCCTTCTCGCAGATCCCCATGTCAACCTTCGGGATGAACACGCCCAGGCCGGATGTCCCAACCAAGTAGCGCCCAAGGCGAAGCAGCCTTTTCCAAGAGAGCTCCGTAGGCGCCGCCAGGTCAGATGCCAGCGTCCTCACGGCCCTCTGGATGTCGGTGCGACCTTGCGCCAGGTAGAGGCCACTCCCCACACGCGAACGATGCCTCGCGATCTGCTTGTCGACGAGTGGATGGGGGTGCTCCAAGACCTCTTCCGATCCCAAGTCTGGAGTCTTGACTGGGTTCGCGCCCATCAGCCCTAGCTCTGTGATAATGTTGAGGGCGTGCTTCCCGTGGGGCTGCGCGAAAATGCCCCCGTCCGTCTTGATCCTCGTCCGCTTGAGGTACTCAAAGCGGCCCTCGGTGACGACGTCGCTGTCCTTCAATTTCAGCTTGGTCCTGATAATTGGAAGGAAGCTCTCGACCTCGCTCCTGCGGCCCGTGCAGTAGAAGTCGTCCATGTGCAGCTCCAGGCCCAGCCTCGTCATCGGCCTGCGGTAGAACTGCGGGCAGGCCTCGTTGCGCTCGAAGCCGCACTCCAGGAGGCGCTCAGCCGCGAAGCTGATCCACTCCCTGCTCGCAGCTCTCCTGCCAGGCAGCTGCTTCTCGAGCTTCCAGGCCACGTCCGAGCTAAGGCCAGCCTTCGCCCTTTGCAGCTAGCCACTCAGGTGGCGGGTCGCAGTAGAACTCCTCCTTCTCAGGAACCTGATAGTACGCACTCGAGACGTCGCCAACCGCAACCACCAGTCGATCATCTGGATCATCATCGTCCTTCTGGCTGAGGAAGTCAATGATGCGGCTGGTCAGGGACGTCGACCCAGGAGCGAAGAGATCACCACGCTCCTCGAGCCAGGCAAACTCCTTGCCCACCAGCCTGCACTTAAGAACCCCAGCTCGGCCCTTATTCCCCCACTTGGTATCAACCTCCTTGCCGTCGGAGGCCGCCCGAGGATGAACTGGGTAGATGCCGAACTCATCGCAGAGCTTTAAGCCCTTGTCGAGCGCCTCAGCCGCCCCCTCCTGGGGGAAGCCGCTGCTGTCCGCTCTGGTTGCCGTACCCGAGGAGCTCGCAGCGGCAGGCATCGGGGCGTCTGGCTCACCACTGGCACCAGCCCCCATCGGGGCCTCTTGGTCCACTCCCCGAGCTTCCGCCAGCTCCTGCGCAGCTTTCCGCCTCTCCGCCAGGTCTCGGCGGGGCCTCTGGGGCCTGGGCCTCTGGGGCCTGAGGACGTGAGTCTGGTGGGCGCTCAGCTGAGGCCTGGGGATATGGAGGGTTCGCCCCGACTCAGGACCCTCGGGGCCAGGACGGGCTGAGCCCTCCTGGCCCTCTGCCCCAGACGGGGGAGCTCCTGGAGCTGCCCCCTCGGCCTCCGTGCCCACGGCCTCCAGCGGCGTCGGCGCGGCCTCGCCCCTGCCGCCGTCCATGACGAGGGGCCGAGGCATGTGCGCGACCTTCTCCTTCCAGGGCTCGCCGCAGGCCTTCAGGAAGAGCTCCTTGTCGTGGCGCTTCCCCGCGGGCATCCTGCGGACGGTCCTGCAGGTCACCTTGCCAGCAATCGTCAGGATGATGTGCTCGTCGTTGTTGGTCGTCTTGCCGACCCAGATCCCCTTGTCCCAGGCAGTGTCCGCCTTGGTCAGCCTGGGCACCAAACCTCCCATCGAACGTCGCTGGCCCGTCTTGCTGACTGGAGCCCTTGCCATCGCCGTCTCAGCAAAGGGAACCACTGCTCCAGTGTAGTTCACGCCGTAGACCGCGAAGTGAGCCGCATAGCCGTCAGCACCCCGCGAGTGCCAGTTCGTCACGTTTGCAGCATGGTGGGCGAGGAACGGCCAGAGCGGGGAGTGCGGCGTGAGCTTGATACCGCAGTTCATCTCCACATGCACCCTGTTGGCCTTCAAGCGGCCTCGCCACCAGCGGATCCGCGTCTCGATGAAGCCCATCGGCTTGCTGTCCCGCGTGCGACCCTGCGAAACTCTGGTATCCAGGTTCTCCTCGTTCCTCGCGTTCACGACCTTATCCTGGAGAGCCTTCACCGCAGGCTCCGTGTCGCACCTGAGCTCTGGCTTCTGGTACGCGAGCTGCTTCATGAACCTCATGAGCTGCTTCGCGGTGTGATCGTCTGCGGCCTTGCCCCCCAGCGCGTTGCCGTGGAGCAGACCAGTGCTGCGATCTGCAGCCACAAGAGATGTCCCGAGACCCTTGTCGGCCTCGTCGCAGAGATTGTCCGTGTCCTGAGTGCCGTTGAAGGCCCAGTCGAAGAAAATCAGCTCCTCTCTGACACTGCTGCCGTACACGGGCTGCCTGACGTGCGGGTCCTCAGGCCCCAGTCCGAACACGCACGCATGGCACCGCTTCTTGAACACCGCGTGACCAGCAGCCTCGTGTTGCTCCTGCTCAACCTCCGTTGGAGCATAGGGAGCCTCGACGACCTTGGCCTCTGTCACAGGCTGGCCGTCCACTTGCTGTTGGTAACGCTCCTCGACCGCCTTCTTGAAGTCCAAGTCCTGTTTGCGCTTGAGCTCAGCATGTTTGAGCCTCGTCCACAGCTGCTCCTTCGTGCCGTAGATCGCGGCCCCGAGCTCCCTCGAGCGCTGTCGGAGCAGGTCGACTCGAGAACCTGGCCCGAGCTCTGCTCCCTCAGGGTCCCTCACAGGGCGGGGCGCCGCCCCTGGCCCTGGCCGGTCCCCAGGCGGACTGGCTGCCGCCGGTGGGGCCGAAGCGGGGGCGCCACCTCCAGACCCCGACGAAGCCGACCCAGCACCCTCTGCCATGGGCACAGGCGCTGCAGCTTCATCAGCCTGGACGGCCCCCTCGCCCTTCATCACCGCGTCCTCGTTGGCGGCGACGGTGCCCGACTGCTGGTCGGGATAGCGGCCTAGCAACCGCTTGGTCTCTTTGACCACATCCTTGGCGTCCTCGAGGTCCTTGCGCACGCTGGCAGGGACCCCGAACGTGTTCTTTCTCCGCACCATCGGGATCTTGACATACCTCCCGTCAGGCTTGGAGTAACCAACGTAGCACCCGTCACTGTGCGAGTAGACCACGTCAAAACCTGCATCATAGCCTCTGTCAGTGCTGAGTAGGTTCCTAGCGAAAGGGCCGACCTTGAAGTTGGCCATGCAAACCACTCGACCCCCACCGCGAAGGGAACCATGGCCTCACCATCAAGAGAGATCTTCTGCTTCTGGGCGGCGATCAGCTGTCGGTGGAGGCTCCACTGCGCTATGTCTCGCAAAGCTTCGTCGTGCACTGTGCTCGTCAGCGCCACCATCCAGCATCAGAAAGTCGTCAACGTCGTACTCCTTGAGCTTGGCCCCGTCGCCGATGGCCACGATGATCGTGTCGTCGCAGGCGTGGCACGCGAACTCGTCCTCCAGCTGGTCTCCGACGCTCTCGTAGCCGTCGTAGCCCACCTGGTGCCCGTTCGACTCGTGGTCGACGTAGTCCACCTGGTGCCCGTCTGAGTCGCGGTCGACGATGCCCACCTGGTGCTCGTCCGGGTCGTGGTCGACGTAGTCGCTCTCCAGCGCCATGCAGAAGCCGCACTCGTCAGAGTCGTCTTCGCTGGGCACGACCATCACGTTGACCTCGGCGGCCTCCTTCTCGACGATGCTGACAGCGCCCTTCTTCCTGTCCTCCTGATCTTTCTTGAACTTGCAGTAGTGGCATGTCTTGTCTTTGTCACTCGACGGCGCGTTGCCGCCGCGTCCGCCCTTCGATCCGCCCTTGCCGCCATCGCCCCTGCCACCTTTGGGGTCGCCCTTGGCGCCACCTTTGCCCTTGAACCAGCACTTGTCGGCCGCGTGGCCGAACTTCTTGCAGAGGTTGCAGCGCGGCTTGTCGAACCCGATCGCGTCGACCTGGCCGACCGCATCCACCTGCATCGGCGCCTGGCCTCCTCCTCCCGCCTCAGGTGGTCTGGGGGCGAAAGCCCTGGCATTTCTCCCCATGCAGTGCTCGCGAATCCTTGCCCGCATCACCGCGTAGTTCTCTCTGACCTCCTGGCTGGCTCCGTCGAGCACCTTCCTGATCGGCAGCGGCGCATAGCCCGGGATGGTCGCGCACTTGAGCCTGCCGCTGATCGCGCCGTGGCTCGCCAAGTCATACTGCGTGACGAGATGATCCCAGTCGCGCAGCACCTCCGCGAAGCTTCGCCTCGAGTGATCATCACTCGTCCACCACTTCGGCTGCGCGATCGTCGTCAGCAGGCTGTGCTCCGAAGTGCCGCCACTCGGGCGGTAGTCAGCGTAGATCTGCCGAAGGGCCTCGAACCCGCTGCCAGAACCAGCCAACTTAGTCATCGTCTGCGCTTCCCCGCGCATCTTCATCGGCAGGAACGTGCTCAAGTTCCTGCTCAGCTCAAGCGTCTCCGCGTTCTGGATGTCCTCTGCAGCTTCGGACCCGCGTGGCCCACCGCAGCGTCATAGAGTGACTTCCGCCCCATCTCAGTCACCTCTGCCTCCAAGGTGAAAAAGAACCTCTCGAACTCATCCTGGCAGCCATTGAAGCTATCATGGCTTCTGGTGTCCTTCAGCGACCAGATCTGGCACGCCCCGTTCTGCGTAGTCGTGCTCGCCATCGCGAGACCCGTCCTGGCGGAGCTGTCCGCCCTCAGGCCTTCGTCGTGGTCGACCACCACCGCGGGCCCAGCCCGCGGCCGACGCCCTGCTGCCACAGCGGAGCCAAGACGTGGACCGCTCTCGCGGAGCAGCTCACGGCTCCGCTACCATGTTTTCTCCTCCTCGGGAGCGCGGGCGGGCCTCCGCGCTCGAAACTCTCTGAGCCTGAACACCAGCGGAACGGCAGCAGCTGGTGGGGCTCCCAGGCACCTCGGGTCTGAAGGAGGCCCCCTGAAATATCACAGAATCTCTACGGAATTGCACCACATAGGCTGCAAACCATAAATTTCACAACAAATATTGAACAACATGGCTTGCACCACATAGTTCACGCCGCATGGTGTGTCCAACAGCGGTTGCGCAACATGATCGCACCACAAACGTTGCTCTACGTAGATTGCGCCACACGGATTGCAATATACATACACACATATATATATATATGCATATATATATATATATATATATATATATTGTACAACACATATTGCACCACCTTTATTGCACTACGTCTACTGCTGAGCACAGATTGCACCACATCGATTGCTAGAAATATGAAGCTTAGCGAACATGGGATGTATTGTCGGAGTTGTTACGTGGTCTTTGACCTCAGCGCATATGCAGCTTTTGTACACGAGTGCAAAGACAGTTGCTGTACACTTGTGCAGATACTTCTCTTGTGCACCACCAAGCACCGCTCTTGTATACCAGTGCAACTACAAATTTTGTACATGATAACACTTACAACTACTGCACACCAGTGGAAGTACAGGTCTTGCACACGAACAAACGTACAACTATTGTACATTTCAAACGACTGCTACTCTTGTATACCAGAGCACGCACACTCTTTACACACGAAATCAAGAACAATTGTTGTACAGTGGTGCCGGTAATATTTTTGTACACAAGCACAAGCACACGTCTCGTACATTAGCACATGCGCAGCTTTGGTCAGCATAGAACTGGTAAACTTTCCGTACATATGTACACATACAAATCTTCTACAGGAGCCACATAAAAATCTCGCACACTTGTGCAAGTACAGTTCGTGCACACCACTACGAGTGCAATTCTCGCACAGTTCTCACTCGCGAACACTAGCACAAGAACATCCCGTGGTACACGAATACAAATACATGTCTTCCGCACTAGTACAAGGCCCACTCTTGTACTCCAGCAGTGAAAGAGCATCCTTTGGTACACGAATAACAGTACACAGGTTGAACCAGTACATCCATGAATACACTAGTACAATTACAAGTGCTGTACACTAGTACAAATATGTTGTCCCACGCGTACCATGGTCGTACTCTAGTACACGTACAATTGCCGCTGAACTTGGGCCCCCTCCACGGACCGGCACCCAGACAAGGCCTCGCCGAAAGCGCTGCCGAAAAAACATTATGGTCTTCTCGCTGCTCGGAATCCTTCCATGTGTAAACTGTGCCTTTATGTTGCAACTTCGCAGGGAGATCCATGGAACTTCCCCCCGATTGGGTGCTGATCGGGTAAGGCCGACGACGGGCTGCGTGCAGGTCCATTGCCTAGTAATAGTAGTAGTAGTAGTAGTAGTAGTAGTAGTAGTAGTAGCAGCAGTAGTAGTAGTAGTAGTAGTAGTCGTAGTAGTCGTAGTACTAGTAGTAGTAGTAGAAGAAGAAGGAAGAATAATAATGTATAGCAGTAGTTGAAATAGTAGTAGTTTAGTAGTCGTCGTGATAATAGTAGCACTAGTAGTAGTAGTCGTCGTAGCAGTGGTAGTCGTAGTGGCAGCGGTCATAATCATGGTAGTAGTAGTAGTAGTAGTAGTAGTAGTAGTAGTAGTAGTAGTCGTAGTAGTGGTAGTCGTAGTGGCAATGGTCATATTCATGGTAGTAGTAGTAGCCGTAGTAGTGGAAGTAGTAGTAATAGTAGTAGTTGTTGTAGTTGTGGCAGTCGTAGTAGCAGTCGTAGCAGAAGTATGCGTAATAGTAATAGTTCCAACAAGAGTCGTAGAATAAGTAATAATAATGGAAAACGCCTTTCGGAAGAAGTGGGTAGAAACATGAAGTAGCAAGGCGTTGGAAGTAGATTGGACTTCCGCCCGCCCCCTGAAGAGGAGGGAAGAGGAACACCGTTCAACTCTTGAAGTGGGAAGTCGGCTAAAGTAGATTGGAATTTGGGCATCTCGACATACCTAGTTTGAACGACTGGCGTGCAGTGGTAGGAGTAGTAGTTGAATCAATTGAAGTACTAGTAGTCGTAGTAGTAGTAGTAGTAGACGTAGTAATAGTAGTAGTAGTCGTCATATAAGTAGTAGTAGTAGTAGTAGTAGTAGTAGTAGTAGTAGTAGTAGTAGTAGTAGTAGTAGTCGTAGTAGTAGTAGTAGTAGTAGTAATAGCAGCAGCAGTAGTAGTAGTAGTAGTAGTAGTAGTAGTAGTAGTAGTAGTAGTAGTAGTAGTAGTAGTAGTAGTAGTAGTAGCAGTAGTAGTAGTAGTAGTAGTAGTAGATGTAGTAGCAGTAGCAGTAGTAGTAGTAGTAGTAGGAGTAGGAGTAGTATTTGCACTAGTAGCAGCAGAAGGAGGGAAACAGGAAGAGAGCTAGAGGAAGGAGGAGGAACAGGGACAGAACGATGAACACAAAGAAGATGGAGAAGGAGGCGGAGAAATATAGAAATAATGAGGAGCAGAGTGGTGAGGAGGTGACAGCCGAGAAAGCGGAGAGGGATGGCGAGGACGAGGGGGTGGGAGGGCGAGGAGAGGGCCAAGAAAAAACAATATGAAGAAAGATGGATGTCCGCCTCCTGGCCATCCTTATCACCATAATCATTAGAAGCATCATCAGAGCAAGAAACCCCATGCTCACCCATCATCATCGTTATCGTCATCAGACGCATCATCGCCAACACCACCACCACCATTACCACCATCGCATCCTCTTCGTCGTTACCATCAGCATCAGCATCATCACAACCAGCATCACCATCACCATCACAAGCATAAACATCATCTTGGCGAGAACTATGGGAGAGAGAAGGGATGGCAGAGGGTCGTCGATCCTGGACGGCGCCCTGGTGGTCGTGCCAGATTACCAGAGTGTCGTCCTAATGGTGGGGGGTCAGCAATGTGACAAGCACGCGGCTGGTGCTGCTGCTCAGCCACTTGATGCTCAACCACCTTATCGCCCTTGGATGCCCTCCCTCTTCAACTCCCACTTCCTCCTCCCCCTTCTCGCCCCTTGGTGCTCCTTGCCCCCCTCTCCCAAATCCTCCTCCTCCTCCTGCCCTGCCCCTCCCGCTCCTCCTCCCAACAAATTCTCCTCCGACGTATTCATGATCCTGCTCAATATCGCCCTCTTTCTCTTCATAGATCCTCATCATCACTATCCGTGCCCTTGTGGGCGTCGTCGCCGTCGACGTCGACCTCTTCCTCCTCAACTTCCTTCTCTTCCTCCACCTCGTCATCCCCTCCTCCTTCTCCTCCTCCGGCGCGTCGTCCTTCAGGGGGGCTGTCGGGAAGCTGACGAACGGGCTGTTGATATTGCTCGCGCTGCGAAGCTGCGCCTGCCCCAGGCCAGATGAGGAGGAGAGCAGGGAGAAGGAAGGGGGGGCGTTGAAGAAAAAGGAGAAGGAAGGGGGAGGTTGTGTTCGTTGGAACTCAGGTTTACGCGAGCGCATGCCGTATGAAAGCAAAAGTGAACCCTCACCTGCGCCTAGACTACAATAAGGAGAAAACGAGGGAAGGAGGGACATGCACACGAGCCCCGCTGGCCCTGCAGATTGTAAAAATGGTCATGGTCGGCCAGTGGGGCTGCGGTAAAACAAACACGAGCGGGCACCCACGTATGCAAAATAACACAAGTTAAGCTCCAGAAAGAAAACAACGAGTAAAACGAAATGTGGCATATTCCTTTTATCACATAACATGAGAAACTAAATAATGAAAACAGGAGGCGCTGTGAATGCTAGCGTGGCCAAGAACCTCTTATGGCTGCATCCTGGTGGGCAGGCTCATACTGAAATCCGCAGTGGAAGAGGACCTTGCTATACGAGGAGAATACGCTGCTGTCCCAAATCCTGGACGGAGAAAGGAGCGGGCAGGGAGGACGGGAATCGCGCCTTCATGTCGGGAACTGCCTACCAACGCGTCTCTCACATGAGTTGCGAAGCGCTGGTGAAGAGTCGGCCCTGAAGGCCAAGGGACAACTGCACCACATGCTAACTTCACGCGCGCACGAGCCTATCCCTCCTCCTCCTCCTCCTCCTCCTCCTCCTCCTCCTCCTCCTCCTCCTCCTACGCATCCTCCCTCCTCCCTCCATCCTCCCTCCTCCCTCCTCCTTCATCCCCCCTCCCTCCGCCCGCTTCCGCCGTGCCCCCCGCTCCTCCCCCGCCTCGGTCCCTCCTCCCCCGCCCCGCCGCGCAGAGGCTGCCCGCGTGAGTCCTCGACGCCGGCACTTCTCGCAGGGGCGAAATGAAGGGGCCCTGGGACACACAAAAATAAATGCACACAAATAGCCAGATTCCCATAGATTTTCCCATATTTCTTCTGGGTTTTGTCTTCCCCCCCCACTTCCCATATTTTCGCATATTTTCCTGGGGATCGACGATTCACTGTGTCTGTGTGTTTTATCCCCTCGTCCTCCTCCTCTTACCCCTCCTCCTCCTCCTCCTCCTCCTTCTCCTCCTCCTCCTGCTCCTGCTCCTCCTCCACCTTCTCCTCTTCCTCCTCTTCCCCTTTTCCTCCTCCTCCTCCTCCTCCTCCTCCTGCTCCTCCTCCTCCTCCACCTCCTCCTCCTCCTGCTCCTCCTCCTCCTGCTCCTGCTCCTCCTCCACCTTCTCCTCTTCCTCCTTTTCCCCTTTTCCTCCTCCTCCTCCTCCTTCTCCTCCTCCTCCTCCTCATCCTCCTCCTCCTCCTCCTTCCTCCTCCTCCTCCTGCTCCTGCTCTTTCTCCTCCTCCACCTTCTCCTCTTCCTCCTTTTCCCCTTTCCTCCTCCTCCTCCTCCTTCTCCTCCTCCTCCTCCCTCCTCCTCTCCTCTCCTCCTCCTCCTCCTCCTCCTCCTCCTACTCCCCTCCTCCTCCTCCACCTCCTCTTCCTCCTTTCCCCTTTTCCTCCTCCTCTCCTGCTTACTCATCCTCCACCTTCCTCCTTCCTCCTCTCCCCTCCTCCTCCTCCTCCCTCCTGCTCCTCCTCCTCCTCATCCTCCTCCTACTCCTCCTCCTCCTCCACCTTCTCCTCTTCCTCCTCTTCCCCTTTTCCTCCTCCTCCTCCTCCTCCTCCTCCTGCTCCCACTCCTCCTCCACCTCTCTCTTCCTCCTCTCTCCCCTTGCCCTCCTCCTCTTCCTCCTCCTCCTCCTCCTCCTGCTCCTGCTCCTCCTCCACTTCTCCTCTTCTCCTCCTCTTCCCCTTTTCCTCCTCCTCCCTCCTCTGCTCCTCCTCCTCCACCTTCTCCTCTTCTCCTCTTCCCCTTTTTCTCCTCCTCCTCCGCCTCCTCCTCCTCCTATTCCTCCTCCTCCTCGTCCTCCTCCTCCTTCTCCTCCTCTTCCTCCTCCTCCTCCTCCCTCCTGCTCCTGCTCCTCCACCTTCTCTCTCTTCCTCCTCTTCCCTTTTCCTCTCTCCTCCTCCTCCTCCTCCTCCTCCACCTCCACCTTCTCCTCCTCCTCCTTCTCCTCCTCCTCCTCCTCCTCCTCCTCCTGCTCCTCCTCCTGACGAGAGCGCTGAGCACGCGGGCGGGGGGGCCCGGATCTCGGCCGAAAACGGGCGCGCGCCCCCGAGGGCGCCGGCCACGGAGGCCCCGGCGCGGCTCCAGGCGGCGGCCGAGGGCTGCGGGTGAGCGCGTGCTCCTCACCGCGACGACCACAGCGCCACGAGGCCATGAAAAACAGCAACAACAACAGCAGCAACAGCAGCAGCAACAGCAGCAAGAACAACAACAGCAGCAACAACAGCAGCAGCAGCAACAACCAGCACAGCATTAGCAGCAGCAACAACTGCGACAGCAGCAGCAGCAGCAGCAATAGCCCTAACAAAGACAGCAACAACAACACGAACGACAACAACAACAACAACAACAACAACAACAACAACAACAACAACATTAACAACAATACCAACAACAACAATAATAACAACAATAATAACAACAACAACAACGACACCCACAACGACAACGACAACAACAACAACAACAACAGCAACAACAACAGCTACATCAACAGCAACAGCCATGTCAACAACAGCATCAACAACAGCATCAACAACAACAGCAACACCAACAATCACAACAGCAACATCATCAACAAAAACAGCAATAACAACACCAACAACAACAATTGTATACATGTTCGCCCTTATCTGCTCGCATGCAATTCAACACGTATATCACAAACCCTCGATACCCACCCGCTTCGTCTTCGATCGTGCCCCCTTGGGGGTATATCTGAGATTTGTCTTACCTGCAACGTGTGTTTCGTTTAGCCTCTAAGGAGGGAAGAGAGGACGGATGAAAGGAAGGGACAATGTGGAGGGAGGAGGATGGAGTACGAGGGAGAGTAGCAGGATTGGGGCTCGGAGCAGAAAACACGCGGCAGAATCAGACGGGCAGACCCTAAAGTGCTGGTCGGGAAGGCGGGCCGAGGCGGCCAGGTCGAGCAGGCGGGTTGCTGAAGCGTGCGTCCTGCATCAGTCGCCAGGAAGTCTCGAGCGATAGCGCGATTCCCAAATACATCGAAATCTACAGCGAAAGCGTGATTCCTGGCTGTCGAGGGCGCGGCGTCTGAATGAATGGCGAGGAAATACCACGCGACAGCGCGATGCCTACATACATTGTGACGAAGTCCCGCGCGAGAACGCGATTTGGGAATACACAGCGAGGAAGTATCAGGCAGGAACCGTTATTGGTGTAACTCGGGGGCCAGGGGCCCGGGAGAGGCACTTTAATTGAAAAACGCAGTGTGCCTCGGAGGGAGGATCAACAATAATTACTTCAGTAATGAGAGTTCAGCGGCAGCAGCAACAACGACAGCAACCGCAACAGCAACAACAACAACGACGGCAACAACAACAGCAACAACAATAATGTAGGATTGTTCGGTCTTATCTGTCCGCGTGCCATCCAACACGTATATCCCGAACCCTCGATACCCGCCCTCTTCGTCTTCGATCGCACCCTCTTGGGGGTATGTCTGTCTTACCTGCAACGAGCGCTTCGCGCAGCCTCCACGGAGGGGCGAGAGGACGGATGTAAGGAACGGACAAGGGAACGAGGAGGATTGAGCACGAGAGAGAGGCAGGATTGGGGCTCGAAGCAGAAAACACGCGGCAGAACCAGACGGGCAGATCGGGCGGATAGGCCCTAATGCGCGGGTCGGGAAGGCGGACCCCGGCGGCCAGGTCGAGCCGGCGGATTGCTGAAGCGCGCGTCCTGCATGAATCGCCAGGAAGTCTCGAGCGATAGCGCGATTCCCGAAAAAAACCGCCGCGACAATTTGGGGGTCTGGTCCATGTCCATTCTGTCCAAATACGGTTTTCATCAGCTGGTGGAACGGGGAGGAGGCAGCGCTACGAACTCCCAATGGTACCGCGTCGCGCGACCTCGGCCTTGGCGCGACGATCAAGGAACTGGTTTAGTTCATTGCGCTCTTGGTCATCGCGGCGTAGCGTCGTGGAAATCGACCCGCTGAACTGCTTTGTCGCGCCGAAGAAATGATGGGCGCGCCCCCGTCCTGCGAGCAGAGGTGGTCCCAGTTGTTGCCTTCCCACATGACACAACGTGGCCCATTCGCATTCAGGGAAACGCCCGCTGTCGTGCAAGTCCGAGGCATGCGCAATGACATTGTCGTCGTATTGTAAGCGCTCGATGCATTGCTGATCCGTCGCGCATGCGGCGCGATTGCCCTGTCCCCTTGCGGGGACAGGTACCCAGGGATAGTAATCAGATGTCTTCTTACGTGTACAATATTCCCTGGGTGTTTAATACTCCCCGCATTTGCCCAAAAATTGGTTTCCAGACTCGCAGCGGCATCGATCACAGCATTTGTGCGCGGCCATCACTGTAAGCTGGAATTGATGCCGTAGATGCCGCGGAAAGAACAGCGTCTGCTGACGTTGCCACCGGCGCACTGGCGTCCACTGTAGGCAAAGATGGCGGGCAAGGCGGAGGCGCAGGTGGATCTTTGGGCTTCGCCGGGAGAAGCGGCGGCGGCGGACGCAGCGGCGGGGGCGGCTGCGCTGGGGCAGGCGCCGCGGCGTCCTCGAGTAGAGGAGAGTACTTTGGCGGAGGCGGCGGACCCTGCGCGGGCCGCAGTGAGTCGCTGTTTGCTTCGCTTGGCGGCGGGGATGGCGGTTCATCCACGTTCGCCTCGGCCTGCTGCCGAAGCCAAGTCTTCAACTCGTCGGTGTAGGCGTTGTTGCAACTAGTGGCTTCGTCGAGATAGCCCGTTTCTGCGCTTGCCGGCGCGTCGAAGATTGGCCGTGCCTTATCAACAAACTGCTGCAAAACAAGCCACGTCTTGGTGTGGCGAATCTGAAATGCCATGGGCGCTGACTTATTCAGATAATCGCGCCCGGGTGATAACCATGCATTCCAAAGCTCAGGGTAGTCGTTGATCAAGCCGTTGAGTCTCTCGAATATCTTGGTATGTGAGTTGACATAGATCCATTCAGCGGCCGAAGAAACCGCCTTGCCATCCCAATCCCTGCCGTAGGCTGATGGTTCCGCCTGAGTGCAAGCCAGGGTCGTCGCTTCTTGCACCGTCATTCTTTTACTCTCATAAGGCCTCGAGAATCTGCGGATGCACGATAGCTGGCACTGCCGCCCTTGCCTCAGTCACTAGAGGCGGGTGCCCGTGACTGTCCATCGACACGGATAGGCATCCGGGCCCGTACGGCCCTGCCTCCCTGGGGAAGGCCATGCCTACCCTGAGCGTGAGGGCATAAAGTCCTGGGCCAGTGTCGCCCGGCCGTTCACTGGATAAGGGGCTACCCAGGGGTGCTCCTCGAGGTCAAGGACCTCTTAGCGACGCCCCGTGCGTCCCCTGAGCGTTTCCCCATACCCAGCCGGTATCGATGGCGTCGGCACGGGGAGGGGGAGGACGAGGAGGAGGGGGAGGGGGAGGAGGAGGAGGGTGAGGAGAGGGAGGGGGAGGAGGGGGAGAGAAGGAGGAGGAGGAGGAGGAGGAGGACGAGGAGGAGGAGGAGGATGAGGGGAGGAGGAGGAGGAGGAGGATAAAGAGGATGACCAGGAGAAAAAGAGGAGGATCAGCAGCAGCGGGAAGGAGCTGCCCCCCCCCACGAGGGAGGGAAGGAGGGAGGGAGGGATGGAAGAAGGGAAGGAGAGAGGCAGGAGGTAAGAGGCAAGAGTCAGGAGTGAGGCCGAGGGAGGCACGAGCAGAAGAAAGAGAAGGGCACGGAGCATTAGCAGAGGAGACACGAACCACCCCCACTGACCTTGAGGTCCCTGTATGTGCACACAGGTTTCCCGTTGTCCGCCGCGAACGCCGCAAAGACCGCGAACTGGTCCATATTGAGGACTTGGCCCTGCATCGCCTCGCTGCTTCGGGGGAGGCGTGGAAGAAAGAAATGAAGAGGAGGAGAAGGGCAAAAGGGGCTAGAGGCTGAGAAGAGAGGCGGGGTGGAAGGAGGGGGAAAGTAAAGGAGAGGAGAGGGAGGTAAAGGAGGAATCCGGGGCCGTGAGGCGAAGAGGAGGGGGAGGGGGAGGGGTGTCCTCTCTCTATGTATATATATATATATATGTATCACTCCAATATCTCGCGCTATCCCTCTATATATATCCCTCTGTCTCTCTCTCTCTCTCTTTCTTGCTCTTGCATTTTCTCTCTATCTCTCTCTCCCTCTGCCTCTCTCTCTTTCTCTCTCTCTCTCTCTCTCTCTCTCTCTCTCTCTCTCCCTTTGTATGTCCAGGAATACGAACGCACACCTATATAATGACTCACTCTGCGTGTGTAGGAAGCGATGGAGGGCGGGAGAGAAGATTGTGAGCGGCTCCCGCTGAACCTGCCGAGTCAGATGCGGCACATGGCTGGGGCACCCGAGCCCGAGCCGGGGAAAACGCAGCACGGCGCCGGCAGGGGCTGTATATGGGGCCGGCGGCCCAGGGCTGGCGCGGGGAGGCCAGGACCAGAGCTCGGGGCCGAGGCCCGGGCCGGGCCCGGGGGGGCCCGGGGCCCGGACGTCCATGCGGGAAGCCCTCCCCCCCCCAGGTCCCGGGACACCGGGGGAGGAGGAGGAGGCGGAGGAGGGGGAGGAGGAGGAGGAGGGAGGAGGAGGAGCAGGAGGAGGAGGAGGAGGATGAGGAGGAGGAGGAGGAGGAGGAGGAGGACTGACTGACTGACTGCCGCCTGAAGTGCCGATCTCTCACGGTCATCGAGGCTCGCTGAGAAACTCGAAAAAGCAAAATCAGTTCGAGGAGTTGGGATTATCCCAAATTCTCGAACCTCGCGGCACGGCGAGCCTTCGTGAGGAGCTCGTCTAGCGGGGGGGCCGCTAGGCATAGGGCGGCACCTCCAGCGCCATCGCGGCGCCAGGTTCGCCCAAGCGGACCCCGACGAATGGGGGGTCCGCGGGGAGCAACTCTCCTGCACCTGACACACTCCTCACTGAACGTGCATACTCTAAAGCCGGCAGGGGTGTTCACTAAATGTTTGCCCCTCTCCTTGCAAAGCGCGAGGAAGGCGGCTGCTTCCTCGTCGGCTCCATAGACTCGGCAGAGAACGACAACGACGACGACGACGACGACGACGGAGAGGACGGCCCGCCGAAGCGGGGGAGAGACCGAGAGCGGAGGCCACGGAGGAAGGGAGAAAAGGAGAGCAGGGAGAGGGAGACGAAACGACAAGGGAAACGACGGCAGCGCAGAGAGCAGCGAAGACGACGACGACGACGAGGAGTGCGGCACAATCCCGCCATCTACTGTGAGTGGTACCATCTGTGGGCCTCCTCCCTCGCACGATTGCTTGTTGCAAACGTCCTATACAAAGGATGGTCGGGAAGTATGCTACGTGATGCTAAGTACATATTCAAGATTCTGTCTGCTGCTACAACTACATTTCCTCCAGCAACCCTTCTACCCATGCCTGCAGCTCCCTCTCCATGAACGTTGGCGGTGCTTTGCCGTGTTTCCTCCGAGTGTCTGGGACCTGGGACAACGCCGAGAGGATGATTTGGCGAAACTGAATGTTTCGGAAGCATACTGTGAGCCTCTTGGTGTCCTTCTGATAAGTCTTGTCGATTTTGCAAAACATGATGAGTTCGCATTTCTGATCTACCGTCCAAGTCTCCATCTCGTTCATCGAATTCATGAGATCCTGGGCTGTCTTGACTCCGACTGTATCTCCCTTCTCCTTCAAGGCTGCGAGAACTCCCGCCATTGCCCATATCTGTGGAGGGCCCAGCTTGTCTGCCTGACCCTTGACTTTCACTGCCTCCGCATACCTGGACGTCTGCTCCTGGGCCCGAAGAATGATGTTGGAATTGGCTGGGATCAAGAATGTGTCGAACACGCAACCCATGATCTCGCGGCTCTGCTGGGAGAGACGAAGCAACTGTTTGGTCATGAGCGTGATGAGACGCCGCTGGCCTTTTGGCATCTCCCTGCGGCACTGCTCTATGTTGCGAGTACGCTCTTCCCCTCCTTGGTCCTCCTCGAGACGACGCTGCTTGGGTTGAGGGGTCGCTGCCGCGGCCGCGCCGGCTGGAGGCGGCAGCAACATCAGTAAGTCGAGGTAGTGGGCGTGGTAGGTGTGACTCGCAGATATGGAAGTTGAGCTCGACACTCGATGGAAATTGAGCCTGACAAATGTTACATTCCCACGGATCGATGTTAATTAAGTCGCGGACCATGTGCGAACGACCCATCTGGCATCTACCATACCTGTACGCTCTACGAATATGCGATCGTGCAATGTCGACGGAGGTGAAGGTGCTCGAGCAGTTGGGACACTGATTCGTGACGATAGTAGCAGATACAGCACGTTCACCGTGTCCATGAGTACGGTGTCCTAGTAATTGTGCGTATGTCTTGAATGTACATGTGCATGTGCTCCCTCCCTCCAGGACCCATCCACATACAAACTTATCTTCGTGGTCTCCTTCATCATATAGAATGTCTGGACGAAAAAGTCTAGCCCATGTTAGTTTTGAAGTAAAAGCGGCGGCACGAAGAAGACTGGGGTCAATCCGAAGAAATTCATGTGCGGGCTCTGAGTTCTCCTCAAATATAGAAAACCATGAGTCGTTCATATCTTGCCATTGCTCAAAGAAAGACTCAGTGCCGCTGAGTCCTCGGTACATCTCTAGATTTGCGGCCAGTTGGAGAACCCATGGGTTAGCGTCTGGTCGAAGATGTCCTTCTAAGTCGAGCGTGGGACGTTCGCCTCCTAGGTGGCCGAAGAGGGCAGTAAGTGTCTGCTGGTTGGCAAAACGATGACGGAGCATCTGTTGTAGCCATCGGATTCGACGTATGGCCAATTCTCCCCGAGCTGGTAGTATCTTCCATTCCCTGAGAAGCTCCAAGTTGCTCATCGTCTTAACATGGGGACCTGTCCAGCTAGTGGCCGAGCCCCGCATTAATACTCTGAGGTACTTGGCTACAGCTGAGTCGATGCGCTTATACTCCGTCACTCGTAACACATACGCCTCAATGCCTGTGAGACCACCCCCTACAACCACGCCTAGGTATACTTCACGCTTAAGTCGTTTAAGGCCGTGCTCGCTCCAAAATCTTCCAAGTAGAGCCCATCCGCGATGAATAGCTCGTATGCGATTGTCTACTTCAGCAGCATTATGGCCACGCATGCTATATCGTGCTCCCAAGTGGCGCGCGTGTGGACGGACACATCCTCGTTCCTGTGGGCAAAGTTGTTGAAGTTCCTTATTCAATCTATCTGAACATAGGAAAGGCACGATATCTTTCTTGCTCATGTTTTGTGCGAAGCCCCACTTCCCCAGTACCGAATTCAAGTCTTCGTCGCCGCGATGAATCTGTGCTAAAACACCGTGTACATCTGTAACATCGATAAGTCGTTTACGAAACAGATCGTCTGCATAACCACTAATAGAAAGATCCGTAATCCCTAGATCGCCGACCTCGCAAATGAACATGAGGGGTGTATGCTCAGGTGACTCTACAACCTCATCTACGCATTTATCGAAGACGCCCACAAACTGCTGAGGAGCCTCTCCAGAGCCCTGGAGCCCACCATGCTTCGCAATGAAATGGTGTGGGACCCCCTGCAAGGTAAAAGCGACTACACTATTGACGAGACGTTGTTCAGCAAATACATGTAGGTCTTCCCGTATCATCAATGGGTACAGCTTACGAAGTTCATCTTGATGTGGGCACATGAATGCGTTCGTTAAGTCATGCAATTCGTTCAAGTGCGGAATGTTTAGTCTGCGTAAAGTCCATCCTACTCGTTGTTGGACAAGAATTGCACCTTCACGCCGACGGTTAGGAAGGAACCCGTGCCATCTGCTGGAAAAGTTCCGTGAGTACCCTTGTTTCTTATTTCCCCAAGAGTAGATGACGCTGTAAAAGATCTTCCAAAATGTATCAGCTAAATGAATCGCACGGAGCCCTCCCATATTTTCCTTGCCATTGTGCTTTTCAAGGAAGACCCCCTCCGTGACACTAGAACATGTAGGTAGTTGTTCTACGCGCATAGAGTGAATGAGAATCTCAACAAACTCTGACCTCGCTGCCGTCAACTTGTCCGTAGAGGCAAGACGGTGTTCCCGACCGTCAGGGGACCGAGAAGGACAACTCACGTGATCACCACTAGCTCTGGGAGGTAGTTCTACTGATCGATCTGGCTGCGAGTCTGGCTCTTCCTCTAAATCCCAGAAACTGAAGAAAGACGAGTTGTGACTCGGGTCGGAAACGGCGCCAACCCCCTGGGCAGATGCATCAGTCTCGTAGCCAATTCCAAACTTCTGGTACCTACTCCGAGAGAGGTGCCCTGGGTCGAGAACGATCAAAGCAACTTCGACTGGTACTGACCAACTCGTTGTACTTCGTCGTTTATGACTACGACGCATTTTTGAGATCATCTGTTCTACCAGTACTTCCGCTGTCACCTCTCTCGTGCTGCTGCGTTGTAGTAATCCTGCGCCTACTTCGTCTCTCAAGAAATCCTGCACCATCTTAGCATACTCTGGATAGTACGTAGCGTTCATGCCCCCCTCACACCCTGGCTTGCGTACCTGCTCTTGGAGTTCCTGGAGATCTGGTCTATATCCTGGAAGATGATTATGGAGTCGATTTTTTACCCCAAGAGAACGTCCCGAAAGAACTCGAGCAAGTCGATAAACCTCAGCCTGATCCTGTCGTTGCCTAGCTTCTTTCAACCGTTCAACCACGTCCTGCCTACGAAGAGCGAGAGCGACACGGCGCCGGCGACGTAGTGAATACGTGATGTGCTTTAGCTGTACCAAACATTCAAGATGTGCCTCAGAAACTCCAGGAACACAGCCATAGCTCTCCCAGAACAAGTGGGCCTCCCAGCGGTAAGCTTGACGCTGTTTAGTAAGTCGAAGTCTTTCTAGGCTTAGCCGGCGGTGCGCTGTGTCCCTATTGTTGCTAACCGAGAAATGTTTAATAGCCAGTGCACGTACAATGTCCAACCACCGTTGATAATGATGATCAGTGTGCGTATCCTCCCTCAACTCCTGCAACTCCCCTCCCGTCCCCTTCATCTCCCTCTCCAGCTCAGTGTGGAACTCCTTGCGAGCGATGCCGTTCTGGAGAGCCTGTGAGAGCTTGCTGTAGTCCCAGACCACTCTCTGGGAGGATAGCGGGGCCAAGTGAAGGTGATAAGAAAACTCAACAAGAAGAGGAAAGTGATCACGTGGACGTGTGTCAGGAATAAGTTGTAACTCTCGTCCCGTGCGCCATGCTACCATACACCGTGTGACTTTAGGTCCTAGAATACGTGGTAGTGCCAGTATGTCCAATGTATTACAGTCCCCTGCGTGCCCATAGTACGTCGGACCTGATTTAGGGTAGTACGTATGGGGGGCCATCAACTCGAAATCGAGCAACGTCTGGGTGAAGATGCGTCCTGCTGTCCCGTTCTTGCCTAAATGGTGGGGACCGAGAGAAAGACCGTCTTCGTCACAGGGTGCCATCTGGTCATCTAGGCCGAGCTTCGAATTGATGTCGAGACCACAGATAAGTGCACTGCGTGCACGCGCTCGAGACACTCTATCCCTGAAGAAATTCATGACTGCACTAACTGCTTTCTGTTGTGCGGCTCGTCGGGGGCCCGATGGGACAACGGGGGGTGGGTACACGCTCAGCACCGTGAAATCGAAGGACCCGCTCTTAATCCGTACTTCGCCAGCTCTCCCCATGATAGTACTAGGTGCGCTAACAATACTCTTGATATGCGATGCATGTATGCGACGTCCGAGTACGACACAACAACCAGCGTGTGCGTTTGTGAACGGGCCCCTGGCCCAGCCAAAATGAATAGCAGTCCGTCTCTGTGCAAGCCGTTCGATATGGTACGTTCTACCCTGCCACTCCTTGATACACGTGCCCTGCAGCAATAAAATGTCAACATTTAGCCGTGCAGCAATCTCCGTCAAGCGATCTGCAGAGAGTAAACTGAGAGGATTGTAGACAGCAACCGAAAACGAGATGGCCATCTCCCTGCTCCCCGCGACAGACCCGCCTCATGCGTCGGTGACCCGACCCCCCCCCAGACTGAAAGGGGCGACGCTGGAGTGTGACGGACGCGCAGTCGGCCGTGTATCTCCTGAAAAAGACATTTGGGCCTAGGAGGAGGAGGAGGAGGAGGAGGAGGAGGAGGAGGAGGAGGGGGGGCCGGGCCCGGGGCCCATGGGCTCCGGGCATCGGCGTCCGGGGTCTGGTCGACGAGACCCGCGGGCCCAGGCCCGGACCCCGGCCCTGGCCCTGCAGCCCCCGGCCCGGCTCTGCCTCGGCCCCAGCCGCGGCCCGGGCCCTGGTTCCAGCCCAGCCCCAGCCCCGGCCACCCCCTGGCCCCAGCCCTGGCCCTGGCTCCCCGACGGTCGTTGTCCTCGTCCTCGTCGTCGTCTTTCTCCTCCTCCTCATCATCCTCTTTCTGCTCCTCGTCCTCCCCTCCTGGTCCCCATCCACTGTCTCTCACCATCCTTCCCATTCTCAAGCATCACCATTACCACCAGCACCATCAGCAGCAGCAGACGCCTCATCATCATCCCCTTCACCTCCTCGTTCACCTCGACCTCCCCATGGTATTTCCATCGTGATCCTTGTCATCATCCTCTTCCTCGTCATTGGCCTCCCCATCACCCCCATGTCCTCAGCCCCCATCGAGCCTTGACGACCCTCTCCAAGAAGATACGCATCTTGTCTGAGCTCTGCGTCGACGACACCCGCGCGTAGCCCTCGTCGTTGACGGGCACCTCGGCTCCGAGAAGTGGAGTGCGAAACAGCAGGAGGGGAGGGAACAGGAGGAGAAAAAGGACAAGGGAGAGCACGATGGTGACAACGATGAGAATGTCGAGGAGAAGGGAGAAGGACGAGTTCGAAGCAGAGGTTCAGGACAAGGATGACGGGGAGGAGGACGGCAACAGCGCCATAAGAAGTATCCCCCACGCTGCATCTCCGTCTGACCCTGCTGCTGTTCCTCATCCTCCCCCCTCTGCATCCTCACTCCCCAAGTCAGCATCCCCCCCCTCCACAGGCGGTCTGAATTCGGACCTGGGCGAACGTATGTTTCAGAAAGGAGTGCCCACCCCCACCCCACCCTCACTCCGCACGCAACCCGCCTACTGCACCGGACATCCTCGCTTCTGCACCCCCTTCCTCTTCATCGCACTCCTGCTACTCAGTTTCATCCTCCTCTTTCTGCTCCTCATGTTTCTCTCACTCATCGTTACCTTCCTCCCCGTCCTCCTACTCCCGTCTTCCTCTCCCATCTCTCCCCTCCCCTCCTCCAGCCCCCAGCTTCCCACCCCTCCCCCCCCAACCCGTCTCCCCCTCATCCTCCTTCTCCTCCTCCTGATCCTGCTTCCCTCCGTATGGTCCTCCCTACAGCAGACGCAGATTGGCAGTCTGAGCGTGATGTGGCCCGATTCGCCCGTACTGCAGGCGGTCGATCGCCCCATCAGGGCGCAGACTGCGCATCCAAGCGCACCGTAGCCTGCTCGGCCTGGCTGGCCTTTCCGGGCGCCTCCCTTTCCCTCCTCCTTCCATTGGCGGCGAGCGAGGGGGGGAAGTGAGAAGGAGAAGGCCTTCTCGGAAGGCGGCGGGACTTCTCAGAAGCCCTCGGGCCTTCTGAGAAGTTGTTTCTGTCTTCGGGGAAGGCTTAGAAAACTTCTCAGAAGGCCGGGTGACTTCCGAGCCTTCTGAGAAGGCCCGCCCCTTCTCACCTCCCCCCCTCGCCCGCCGCCGATTCCAGCTGCTCCAGGGACTGCCCTTTCCCCATGCAGCACCCGTCCAGGGCACCACACACCTCTCTCCCCGCAGCCGGGGTGGACTGCAGAGGACACGCGAGAGGACACAAGGCTCTCCCGAGAGCCATCTCGTCACCTGAATGTAGAAGCTGTGGGCAAACACACACACACAACAACAACAACAACAACAACAACAACAACAACAACAACAACAACAACAACAACAACAACGACAACAACAACAACAACAACAACAACAACAACAACAACAACAACAACAACAAAAAACAAAACTGTGCTTCTGTTTCCCACTGTGTGTTGTGTTGTTTGTGTGTGTGTGCTTGTGCTTTGGGTTTGTTTGTTGCTTTTGTTTGTTTGTGTTTGTTGTGTTTTTGTGTGTTTGTTGTGTGTTTGTTTTTTTCCCCCACCGTGTGTTTTTTTCCCATAGGTCGCGAGGCACAGGATCAGGCGGACGTAAGACCTGGGTACAGGGGACTCGGAAATCCCCGACGAGGTCGTCAAAAAAATGACGAGGCCGAGCCTGCATTTTGACGAGGCCTCCCGCTGCAGACATCCCACGGAACTCCTCCTCGTCAAAATCCGAGGCGCGGTCGTCAAAAAACGATGGCGAACCCGAGTCCTGGCAAACCCGGGTCTTACGCTCCCCCGACAGGACACGAGGGCGCCCTCGATCTGGCAGGGTCGCCCTGCCGATCCGCCCCGACCGCACACCGTCGGCCGGCCGCACCCGAGATCCCACGGGGCGAGGACCCCGGGGGGACGCGCGCGCCCCTTGGGGCCCATGCCCTCGCCCTCTCTCACCGGGAGGGCGCGCGAGCATAGATTCGCGATCCATGGATCTGGCGAGCGGTCGCCGAATCCATGGATCGGGGGAGGTGCCATCCCCCAAACTGCGGCCGGTGCCGCCTCGCTCGGCGGCGGCAAGCCGCGATCGCCCCTGAAAACGGGACCCGTCGCTGATCCACGCCCCCTTCGTCCATAATTTGCGATCGCCTGGGTTGGGGCCCATGCTCTCATCCTCTCTCACACTGGCATGGTACAGTCCTCTATCGCCGGCAGCGGGACTTCTCAGAAGCCCTCGCGTCGTTTGAGAAGTGCGTTTGTGTCTTCGGGGAGGGCGCAGGCAACTTCTCAGGAGGCCGCGGGACTCCCGAGCCTTCTGAGAAGGCCTTCTCCTTCTCGCTTCCCCCTCTCGCTCGCCGCCGAGGAGGTCTGGGAGGGGAGGGCGGGGACGCTGGCCGGGAAGGCCCGACACCCTGAGCAAGCAGAAAGGCAGCGGACCGCTGCGCGTTCGCACAACATCTGCTTCTCCGCGGCACCGTGCGGTGCCTCTTTAGGCCGTCTCGAGCGCCTCTTGAAAGCCAAGAAACGGACCAAGTGGCACGCGTGCCATGGCTTTGGCAAATCCGGGAGAGAGGAGGAGAAGGTTGAGGAGGTGGAGGAGGGGGGGTGAGGCAAGCTAGGTGAGCTCGCGTCATATCTGACGTCCTGCCCCTCCCTCACATCCCTTACCATGGCGTAGATCTCCTATCTGTTCGCACAAATGAATGTCGCAACATGGCATAGCATTACATGGTATATCATGGTATTGAAGATGAAAGCGTAGCATGACATAGCATGACGTGGCGACGCCCCAAAGTGTGGGGGGGCTCCTGCGGCCCAAAACATCAACGAATCGACACAAAATGTGTAATCACTTCCCATGTTTTTTTTTTCGGGAGGCCACTTTCTAGATTTCGGAACCTTTTTTTGACGGACTGAGAACCACGCCGTGGCATGGCGCTGGAAAACATGACGCCATCGCTGCAGCGGAAGCACGATTCAGGACGAGCGGAAGCGCGGAAATGAGGCCAGCGCTGCAGCGGGAGCACGATTCGGAACCAGCGGTAGCCCGAAAATGAGGCCAGCGCTTCAGCGAGAGCAGCGTTTCGAACAACAAAAACAACAAACAATCGCGGAAACGCGGAAATGAGGATGCGTAGCCTGACATAGCATGGCGTGGCGACGCCCCAAAGTGGGGGGGGGCTTCTGCGGCCCAAAACATCAACGAATCGACACCGAATGTGTAACCACTTCCGATGTTTTTTTCGGGGGGGGGGGGCAGTTTCTAGATTTTGGCGCCTATTTGGAAGGACCGAAAACCATGCCGTGGCATGGCGCTGGAAAGAATGACGCCATCGCTGCAGCGGGAGCACGATTCAGAACGAGCGGAAGCGCGGAAATGAGGCCAGCGCTGCAGCGGGAACACGATTCGGAACGAGCGGTAGCCCGAAAACGAGGCTAGCGCTCCAGCGAGAGCAGCATTTGGGAAAAAACAAAACAAGAAAAGCGGAAACGCGGAAATGAGGATGCGTAGCCTGACATAGCATGGCGTGGCGACGCCTCAAAGTGGAGGGGATTCTGCGGTCCAAAACATCAACGACTCGACACAAAATGTGTAATCACTTCCTATGTTTTTCGGGGGGGGGGGGGGGGCAGTTTCCAGATTTTGGGGCCTATTTGGAAGGACCCAGAACCATGCCGTGGCATGGCGCTGGAAAGAATGACGCCATCGCTGCAACGGGAGCACGATTCGGAACGAGCGGAAGCGCGGAAATGAAGCCAGCGCTGCAGCGGGAGCACGATTCGGAACCAGCGGTAGCCCGAAAACGAGGCCAGCGCTTAAGCGAGAGCAGCATTTTGAAAAGAAAAACCCAAGCGAAAACCCAACACCAGGGAATCCAACCTAAAAAATCAGTACGCGGAGGGGGGCCGAACATTCCCCAGACGCCACCAAGGGAGAAAGGAGATAGTATTCATATTCAGTCGGGAAAACGCATATGTTTAGCGCGTTCGTTTCTTGGTCTCAGTAGCGCCCAAGACGGCCCAAAGAGGCCCCAAGACGGCCCAATAGGCCCTCAAGAAGGCCGGCAGAGGACCCCGAGAACGCCTGAGAGGGTCACAGGACGGGCCAAGAGGCACCGAAGACGGCTCACGAGGGCCCAAAGAGGGCTTAAGAGGGCGAGCTGGAGGAGGCTCCAAGGGGCCTCCTCCGCAAGATGGCCCCTTAGATTTATGACATGCTCACAGGGAGCTTCCAACTGACACCCAAGAATCTCAGAGGGTCCCAAGAGGTCCCTGGGAACCTCCACATAGCACTCGAAAGCCTCCCTGGAGGCCTCTAACGAGGGCCCCAAGAAAGTCTGCAAAAGACCTCTCTGCGGAATGCTCGCGATGCAAAGTGCCAAATTTTGGCTTGTGCCTGGAAGTTTGCCCTAGGCATTCCTGTCGCGCGCATAGTCTGTCGAGTGTACCGTTGGGGATAGGCAGGACGGCGTAAACCTCTGGAGCTCTGGAGCGAGGGGAGGGAACAAAAGGAGTCAACAGAAGCGACGACGGCGAAAAAGCTCCTCCTCCTCCTCCTCCTCCTCCTCCGCTGTTGGACCTCCTCTTTCTCCTCCCATCATCCTCCTCTTTCTCTCCCGAGCGCATCAGCTCTTCAGAGCCGCGTCCAGCCGTGACGGCGAGTGGGGCCTCCGAAGGCCTGAACACCTCGAGTCTCGACCCTGGAAGCTCGAGTCGCGATGCGAAGTCCCAGCCCTCCCCGTCCGACTGGCATCCCGCCGCGAGCCGTCGGCGACGACGACGCCGACGACGGCGACGACGATGGCGACGGCGGCGGCTGCGGCGGCGGCGGCGGCGGCGGCGACGGCGGCAACGACGACGACAACGGCGGCGGCGCTGGCAGGTGGGCGAGGAGGAGCTGGGGCGGCTGCTGGGGGGTGAAGGAGGGGGGGGGGGCGCGGCGCCAGCGTCGTGCGCGCCGAATGAAAATGGCCGCGGCGGAGGGAAACGCTCGCTGGCAGGCGAAGGAAAACTGAGGCAGCTGCTCTTGGGGGGGGCGAAAGGGCGTGCGGCGCCGGTGCCGTACGTGCCGAGATGAAAAGGGTCGGGGCGGCGGGGGCGCGCGCGGCTGCTGGGGGGGAGTGGAGGGGGGGGGCGCGGCG